ACTCTATCGTTTTGCTCGTTCATAATATCAATATCTCCAACAAATAGACTGTATTTTTTGTTGTTTGTAGTTTGGTTTTCAAAATAATTTTGCAAGTTTTGATTGAATAAGTTAATGCACGTTGATGGAGATCTATTTAAGTTTTGTAAAATTCAACCTCCAATTTTAATATGTTAGAGCCGTTGAAATTTATCAAATAGGTAGTGATTTTTATAGAAATCAGTTTTCAAGTAAACAACTGTACCGTCATCTTGGTTCAAATTTCCTTCGTTATAAAGCATCTTGTATCCTGGTAAAGTGAATACGCTGCAATCAGTAATTTTGTTTGTCTCTGTAAATATAATGCAATCATATTCAATTTGACATTGAGAAAGAAACATTTTAAATTCATCGAAGTTTTTTGCGATACTTCTAATATTATTGTGTATAGTTTGAAGTTATGTGATTCTTTATTAATCTTCAGAATTTGATTTGTTTGAAATCTAAAGTGAAGGTGTCAACTTTAGTTATCTCGAAATCTCTGATATACGGATCCATTGAAAGAAAAAAAACAGCACAAATGAATTTAATGTAAAGATTACTAAATTGGTTTCGCTATCTCTAGAATTATGGTTCCTGGATTGCTACAAATAAAATAATGTTTATAGTTTGAAACTTTTCATTCATATAAAATATTTTAGCCTGAACGTGAAGTTGGTGAAACTGTAAATTTTGAATTATTGGGAAAGAACGCTCGCTATTTTTGGTAATTAGTTCTCGATCTGGTGAGCTTCTCAACAGTTGGGTTGTCTGGCTTTGATGGTTTTTTTGAGGCTTCACTAGAGTTTGATAGGTGTTCTACTAGACTGATTGATTGATTCTCTAGGGCGTTTTTCGGATATATTTGTTCTGGATTTTCTTGATTCCTTATCGTAGAATATTCAGTACTAGTTGCTTTCTTGTCTACCTGGTTTTCTATTTCGTATAGCTCTTCTGAGGAAAATTCTTTATTTTCTACAACAAGTTTATTACCCTTGATGTAACAGTGTTTATTTTGCTGCCTTTGGGCATCGTCAGTACCGGGTAGGCGGTTCTCGATTGAAGACAGCATGTGAATAACCAAGAAAAGTGCTTGATAAAAATAATTGCGGAAAGGCAAGCGAGACATAAGTGGAACCACCTATTGGTGTGATACCCAAGTAAACTTGCCAAGTTTTTATGTCATTGTCGGTGGTTTGACCAATCAACCGACAACTGCGGTAGCAGAAATTTGGGAAGCTATCCTGGAAAACGGATCCATATGTTTCCGAAAATGATATGAAATCGAGAAAGGTTGATGCAGTCGAGCTGCTAGAAAATTATATCATGAAAATGAAAAGATAAATAGATAAGTACCTATTATTCTAATCATTCCCATATTGATTTCAATTTAAAATCCACCGAGTTTCACACCAATAGACCATCACTGATGTCTTGGTTGCGTTTACGCAGTTATTTTTATCAAGTACTTCACTGACGTTTCGGTTGCGTTTACGCAGTTATTTTTATCAAGTACTTCACTGAAGTTATTCGTGCATATGCTGTTGACGATACAACTGCCGCAATAGATTATTGGAACACTTGCAGACCGGTTTCGGGTTGTTTGGCCACTCGTCAGTGCAAGGCAGTGTCTACCATCAATATAAAGTCGATGATTTCCGATAATTGAAAATCGAATTCCTTCAGAGTATTATTCCTCGAACTAGGCTGAAGCGGACAACAAAAAAATGGTTTGTCATCGCCCCATCTGCCTGTGAACGAGGTAACTAACCGCATATTGGATATTTGCCCAATTCCTCGTATAAGGAAAGAAAACTTTTGATATATAGTCAGTGGGCATACTTGAAAACTAGCTATCATCTAAAGGAACAATTCGTTCAGGCTAGTCTCAATATAATTGTTATTTCCAGTTATTCATTTCAATTTTTGATTTTATTTGTTCTGCCAGGGATTTCAATTCATATTAGAAAATAGAAGTCCAAACTAATGAAATTCACAATGAAACATTGTCAACCACTTTCAAATAAAACTGTTTACCTCCGTAATACCTTTTTCTGCCGTTGGTATCCCTGATAACCTCAGGTACCATTGTCTATTATCCTCTTATATAAATAAACCCTGTTACTCGATTTATAGAATTGTTATTCAGTCATTGATGTGATAATTGTGTTCATTTTGTGCAATTAACAAAGTTGTTGCTTTTGGAACAGTTATAATAAACAGGTTGGGAAATAATCACCAAACTCTATGATGGAATGTCACTACAAAGTTTTGGGTATCTCCAGAAATGCAGACGATGCAGAAATAAGATCCGCATATCGAAAACTAGCCCTCAAATGGCATCCTGATAAGAATTTGGACCAAGTCGAATTAGCAAATAAACAATTCCAGATTATAAAGCGAGCTTACGATATTTTGTGTGAAAAACAAAAAAGAGCAGATTACGATAAGAGTCATGAGGAGTTTCCGAGATATAAAGGAGCAGATTACGATGAGAGCCAAGAGCAGTTTCCGAGAGATTTCTACTCAGAGTTCGTAGACAAGGGATTCGACGTTTCCCAGTATTTGACTACCACATGCTTCAAGGGTTACGGTGATGACAAGAATGGATTCTACTGTGTGTATCGCACTTTTTTTGATGGTATTATCAAGGAAGATATGAATTTTATGAAAGGCAAAAATAAGTACCGTGATGTACGAGTACCGAGGTTTGGTAACTCTTTCACTGATTACGAAAAAGTTAAAGAGTTTTACGCCTACTGGCTTAACTATTCAACGAAACACAGCTATGTCTGGGATTTCCATAGAAAGGAGCACAACCAGAAAGTTCAGAACCTTGTGGCTTTCGTGAGGGAAAGAGACGAGAGAGTGCTAGCCCAGAAAAAAATTCGGGAGCAGAAATTGGCGAAGAAAAAAAAGAAAGGGGAACTGAGCCATCAAGAAATGTTAAGGAGTGGGCAGAAGTTCATTGATTCTAATTGCACAAGGAAACAGAACAGCAACAGAAAGAAACACTAGATATATTATTTCATTGTTTGAGTTATTCACATGCGATCTTTAGATTTTTAACCCAAGATTTGCCTCAGTTATGCTGATAATAGGTAAGTTTTTGATGACCCGATAAGTTTTTCGGAAGCGTAACTGAGATAGTAGATTTTTCAGTGAAGTGTTCCAATAAAAACCTATGAAATAAAATCTTAATTCTAAATAATTCCCAGCGATGCAACATGCCGCCCGCCCAAGATGATCGAAATATTCGTACATGAACAAGGTACAAAACTTCTTGGTACAATGCTTGAACTCACCGCTCCTTGATTCAATTGCCACAAATCTAACGACGCCATCTTGTCCGAGGTGGACTGCTGTGATTCTTCTCATGGCCACATGAGTGTTGGTGTCGCCCACTTTGAGATTGATCGGTTGGCCACTCCATCTGGCGCAGGTATTCCTTATGCCATAGCTTCAAAAAATGCTGTTTGAGCTGCTGAGTGTGGTATCATAGCCGATTTATAACAGTATCCGTAAAGTCAACCTGAGAAGCTGCCGTCAGTACTTTGCCCATAAGGAAGTGGAGAGAAGTAAGAGGGAGTGGGTCATTTGGATCTGAAGATATGGGCGAAATTAGTCTGAAAATCAAGATTGCCTCTATATCAATTATATTGCTTTCTCTAAAGTCAAAAGAGTGTCACCAAGTATCCTAACCAAATGATGCTTAAACGTCTTGACCGCTGCCTTCCAAATCCCGCAAAAATCCCAGAGATCTGGGCGGTATGAAGTACCAATCGACCCTTCCTTCACTACAGAAATTCTGAGGGGCGAAGAATCGAATAAATTGTGTAAATCGGTTAGTTCATGTTTTGCTTCAACGAAGTTAGTGACGTTTTCAGAATGAAGTTCGTTAGTTTTTTTCCTTGGTGAAAAAAAGTGCTCCAGACTAGCGAGTAAGGCTTCACTAGTAAGGTCACTGATGAGTTCTAAATGGACAGCCCTTGTGCCTAAATGAATTAGCGTAAGGAAATGCTGGGCAGGTAGTTGATTGGATGTCGCTGTTTTTCTGCAATGGAAGTGCGACCAAGTCTACCCCTACTCTCAAAATACCACTGTAATGTACTCAATGCAATTAGTTTAGTGGTGCGCGGAATCGGATTATTATTTTTATTGCTCCAACGTTTTCTTCATGATAATTGAACCATATTAATTATAATTCATTATGAACTCACTCAGCAGCACACACAAGACCGCGCTCGCGCAGGCTGTTTAGCATTATTAATGAAGCATAATAAGCACGCGACAATTCGCTGTTTTGTTGACAGAGCTGTATGCTTCAAGAAAATCATGCCCCCTTCATCTCGATTTTTATGCAATTTACATTGCATGAAACTCCAACAGGCAAGTTCATCGCAGCTATAACTGCTTTAGACCAAGTAGAACTATTGTGGGTCAACCAGAGAGGACCGATAAACCTGAGAGAGTCTAACAACGTGATACCAGATCAGCAGGATTGCTTTCATATGCGATATGGCGCCAATAGCACGATGAAGTAAGAGTTTGTATTTCCGAAATACGATTTGATATCAATGTTTTCAAACGATAGGCGGGGTTCTTTATCCAATGTAACACAATGGTAGAATCGGACCAAAGGTATGGACGTAAAGTAAAAGGGCGGCACAGAGCTCCAATTTCGGCCAGTGCCTTTTTTGCAATTTTGTATTTTTTTGGTAAAGCAATTAAAAATACAACTTTTTCGTCGCTTGTGTTTTCTTCATATCATGCTTCGTTATCGAAGTATATCAAGCAATTGCGGCAGTTGAAACGTTTGAAGATTGTGACCTATCAATAGGAATTTGATTCGGCGGAACATTGGGTGGTAATATTATTATTAGTGTTCTTTGAGTTTTTGTTTTCTCCTCTTGTCGTTAATACAATTTTAAAACACGGTTTCGGATCATTGACAGCAATAAACTGATAAATGAATCAACCCATTTTCGAATGATATAAAAAACAATATATTCTTATCAAATTCATCAATAATCAAATATACAATAGACAAACTTAACGAGATATACTAATTATTCGAATTGCTTTCCTTCTTTTTTTTCTTCTTGACAGGAAGGCCGCTTGAGAACTCTGAGGTAGTTAAGCTCAATGATTTGATTTTTCTTTTTTGAACTGGCCTCTGAGGTTCTTTATCCCTGAAAAAAAAAACATTTTTAGTACGATTTATTAGTCTACATAAAACTGTCCGAAAATGATAATTAACAAATAGTCTTCGTTCCTAGGTGATTTTAAAATATTTGAGGTCCTTCAAAATTTCAGAATATCACAAATTGGTAGCTTTTATTCTCAGAAGTCGATCAAAGCTAGGGAGGAAAAAAAATTCAAAAATGTTCATTTGCAGGTCACTACTTATTTTGTTCGTGTAACGATCCATAAACATTACCAACAAAATATATTAATTTTGTCCAGAGGTGCCTGCATATTGTAATTTCTTAAAAACCGAGAGTATTCCGCAATAAATGTGTTACTGACAATTTAGTTTAATATAATACAGGGTAGTTAAAATAACCCCTTCCTGTCTTTGGGAAAGTGAATAATATTTTTACAATCTCTCAGAATCTCTCAGTTGTTTCTTAGCACCTATGTGAATAAAGAACGACAACATCCTGAGCATGGATGTGTGACGTTTGTTAACGTTGTCGCATTTTCTCAATTAGCCAGTTGGAATATTTTTTAGCTATTGCTATTTTCAATTCAAAGTTACATATTCAACTTAATGTCGATGAAATTTTTCGTACCACACTGAAATTTTTGACAGATACTTATTTTATTCACGAAAGAACAATTTGTAAGGATCGTGTACCAAAAAATATAAAAAAACCTCTCGAAAAAATGAAAGCATATTTAGGCCGATCCGCGTTATAATGTTATTCAGATTTGGTACCGAAGAGCTGATAATGCAAGTATCTTACGGCGAATCATCGAATGTCTACCAGTGAGGATGACAGTGTTTCATGTAAGTGAAATTTTACCTTTCATTTAGTATATTGTGTAGAAATCCTGTGAATGATATCTGATTTGATTCCACAACTAATGTTTGGAATACGAACTGAGTAGAGAAGAGTGTTTTTTGTATAATTCAGTGTTTATATAAAAGTATTTGTTACGAAAGTAGTTTTTTTTCCTGTAATTGTTTATAGGAAAGTAGTTGTTTCGGGAGGGCTTTTTCTTCCAGTTTGTGTCTGAAAGTTACTTTTTCGCATGATCTACACATCTTTGAATATAGTAATTTTTTTAAAATGTATTGCTTTTTCCTTTTTTCGGAAGATTCCCACATTTTTTATATCAAGATGAAGAAGCGGAAAGGCAAAAATATATTTTTAGATTATCTTATAAACATGTTTTTAAATTAATGTTATGATTTGGGAGGATTTTGGTATCGTATACTTTATATTCAGATAACATTATTTTGTAAATTTGGTTAAATTCCAAGTTCTCAGATTACTCAGTAGCCCTCAACCCCGTCATTTTTGCAACACATCAGATAATCTCACCAAAGCGAACCTCCTATGAATATTTTTAAAACAGTAGCAAGCTACGCGTAATAGTTGTTCTTCCCACAGCGTTGCGGCACATTTCATGTGCCCACTTTAGCCGGTAATGGCGGGACTTTTCTACTATGCATACCAGAGCAATCATTGTATGACTACGGTAATTAATGAATCTGAGTGATTAATAGCTGGTTCCATTCTATACCGAAAAAAAACTGGCTGCTTCATTAGATTTATCACTTTTTTCATTTTAATACTTTATTAAGTTCATATCCAATTTAAATCTGGAAACAATGAATTATAAATTACAGCGGCTACTTCGTACGAACGGCAGATGGGTTTTATTCTTGTTGTTCGGTTGGCGTTTCCATATTGATGATAAAAATAATGGAGTTTCTATGCAAAAGAATCCATTCATTACTGTGGGGAATTTTTGTTCAATCCGGCTAGTGGAAATGGCTTCATAATCATTATCCTCAGATTATTATAGTATTACTAGCCGCGCCTGTTTGCAAGTCAAGAACTACTTGTCTTTATTTATTGGTAATTCCAAGAAAATCATCCGCCCATAGAGGAATGAAAAAGGTACACACATTATTGAAATGTAAAATATTCAAGATTTTACAAGATATTGGTTGCTTCAAAAGTTTAGTCCGTTTTAATGTCATGTGTTTTTGTAGACCCATATGTCAAATAATATTTATTCTACTATGTCGTGGTGTATACTGATCGATTGAGAATTTTGTACTCTATACATTAATGCTGTTAATTTTTTCAAAATTGAGATTTTTGCCTGTTTTCAGCTTATTACTATACAGTGTGTAAAAGCCAAATGGAATGAATTAATTTTTTCGGTTACTGTACATATTTAAAAACAAATCCCAAATGACATTCTTCAAAGTAAAAATGCCACCCCTACTTTCAAACCCCTTAGAATGACAGGTCCATTCATTATCTATTCAAAAATGTTACTGCTTTCAAGTTTATTGCAACAATGAGATAAAATATATGTTCAAAATGTTCACTGCGAACGTCTTGGCAACATCCTAATCTCAAATAAAAATGTCTTCTAACATTATTTAACATATCAGGCGTGACCGACCTAATCGCAAGCGTTATTCGTTCTTTTGAATCATTTAAATCTGAAGGTTTAGTTTTGTACACATTGCTCTTTACATATCCCCATAAAAAGAAATGATGAAAGATCAGGTGATCGTGCTGGCCACTCAACCGATCCTCGCATCCCTATCCACCGATTGAGAAATGTTGTATCGAGGTATTGCCGGACATAAACTTGGTAATGTGGTAGTGCTCCATCCTGCTGAAACCATATCGTATTCACTGGAACTTGAGGGTTTCCTGGATCGGGATTTAAATTTGCTAAACTTGGAATGACATCATTTTGAAGTAGTGCCAAATAATTATCGCCATTCAGGTTGCGCTCAATGAAAAAGGGACCAATGATATGGTTTCCTACAATTCCTGCCCAAACATTAACCTTTTGAGGGTATTGCGTGTGTTCTTCTCTCATCCAGGGAGGTGATACTGTTATCCAACATATCCATCATTTGCTCACAAAAGTACGTTTTTCTATCAAAATCGTCTTCCATGAGCTCCTGAGTAGGTATCATTTTATAGGGATGCATTTTATTTTATTTTAATATGTTTACTAACGATGTATGGCTAACATTGGATGCCTGTCTACTCGATGTATGTGGGTTTTCCTCAAACTCAAGCATCACATCTAATTTGAGTTCATCACTCATTGCATTGGCAGTTGCTTTTTTTATCTGCCCCACATGATCAAGCTCCCGAAACTGCGTCTCTATTTTGCTTATTGTTCCTTGATATATGGGCGATAAATCAGGAAATTTCTCATGAAATAGGCGAACTACTTCCTGTTGTGTTCGGGTTTTATCCCCGTAACCAATTATTTGTAAAACTGTTATTTTACGCATTTCCGTCGATCTAACCATTTGTCAGACTTGAAGTTAACAAACTTTAAACTTATATTAAAATACTGACAACTACTGTTGTAACATACAAAACAAGTTGACAAGACGTTTTAAAGTAACGTTGCCACGGATATTATTTACAGTGTTTTAAAGGATACCATGTAAAAAGAACATTGCTATTGTTTTTGCTTACTTTCTTATTATCAATACCTCAACATGAAATAAGTTTTCAGTATATTGCAATAAGTTTTTAGTGTATTTTATCGACTTTTGGTAACCACATGATTTTAATTTATTTTTTCTTAATTGTTGCAATAAACTTGAAAGCGATAACATTTTTGAATACAGGATGAAGACGCCTTTCAAACGATATATCACAAGAATATACTTCCCATTTAAAAAATTGGGGGTTGTACTTGTCATTCGACGGGGGTTGAAGGTAGCGGTAGCAAATTATAATTTAAATTGGACGTGTTTCGGGATTTTGTTGAAATATGTACCGTAACCGAAATACTGAATGTATTCCATTTCGCTTTTGAACACCATATGAGTTTTTCGGCCAATATTTCTCCATGAATTCAAATTGAAATAAAGAGCCGCCGAAACAGCCAGAAGAATTATTCAGGCATTTAGCAATTATAGTGTTAATGAACGCACTGTTCGGCGTTGGTGTGCGAAATTTCTTTCTGGAGATTTTAGCCTCGAAGATGAGTCCCAAAGTGGTCGATCACCTACAGTAATCCAGGACGAGGATATGAGGATCCCGGTGGAGACTGACCCATCAAAAACGGTGCGTGGGATGGCGGAAGAACTACTATGAGGCTGAGGGTACCAAAATCGCGACGGCCGAGCGATGGCGACCGCTGGGTGGTACGGGGCGATGAGGAGAAGTATCTTGCGTGGGCACGAAACTTCGGTCGGTCAATCGTGCTGGAGTAGAGTTATGAGCAACATGCCACGTCATCGTAACACAAGTTTACGTCGAAGAGAACTAATGGAGCCAAGTCTACTAACGAAAACGTAGTTGTTATCACCTAGAGATGATGTTATTCCATAAAAGAAGGAAGAAGTAATTTTGGCAAGTTTTTTATTCTTTATTACGAGCTGAGGTGAACATTTTGACTGTCGCATAGAGCAGGTTTTGACAAAATATACGAAGTACATTCTTTATTATCAATTTTCATTTGGTGCATCGCTCTATCGCTTCGCCGCGCCACTGCTCGTTTCGTGCACGTCACCCATATATGTTCGCGTCGCTTCGTCATCGCTTAGCCGTCGCCGTTTTCGTGCCCTCGGCCTAAGTCTAACTGATTCGTTTGGAATAGTTTCCAAGAATATCAGGAATCATTTATTTCCTGAAGTTTGATCTAAACCAGGAAATGAGTTACGGAGGTTTGTTTGAGCTTCTTCAGACCAGTGAAATCAAAATCGCAAAAGGTATACGTTACTTTCTCTCAACGTTTCAACAGACTTGATCCAATGAAAAAAAGAACGATAATTAGAAAAGGGTTGAAATGGAGTCGCACACGGGGGCGAACACCTACCTCTCTCGGGTCAGCAGCGCCGTACGTTTTTGATTAATACCGGGGTCATTATCGCATTAAAGCGCGTCGGTTCGAGCAGACACATGGCGCGCACACAAAGGGCTACTTTAAACACATAAATAACTCAGCTTTTTCATTTCGTTGTATAATACAGCCTCACTTTTGTATAGCTCGTTTTTCATGGACAATTTGTGATATCCGTACGGTGAACGTTTTTGTTTGGATCGCACAGTTGTTGGCAAAAAATGCTTTTGTTTGTGCCAATGGACGCGATTCGATGAGGTTCTTATCACTTTTACGCCAAGTTATTAGGAAAAAAACCGGAATTGATCGAAATTTCCAACGATATTATGTTATTTCTTTATGTAGGAGTTGATCTGAATTGAGTGCGCGAAATTGGTAATTTTGTTATCAATGGAGATATGGAATCGTTTGAATTTTTATGCTCATTAGGATGTGAGAAACAAAAAACAATTGTGTAATGCACTCTTCGTAATGCACAAGGCATTTTTTTCAGTTGAAAATAAAGGGATTATCACTGTGCACTGAAACAATGTGTTTATAATCAAATAATAACTGATTGTATTTCCATTGAATACCTAGACAAGCCGTAGGTAATTTTCAAGATGGTGATCAAATGTATTAATGAGGTCAACCGCCAGAAACCCTTTCCTGAGTTCCTAAGGAACTCTTAAATTCCCTAAGAAGGGCGTATTGAAAGATATGGGATGACATTATAACTTGTAAAGTAATATTGAGTGAGACGAAGTGAAACATAATACCATAAGGAATTCCAGACTGGTCAAAAGTGATCATGGATTTGATCTTGACCTTGAAAGTTGGATCAAAGGCAAGTCAATTTTAACCTTTCTTTCCCTATCTTTCAGCCGATATCTCAACAATATTCCTTTTTCAAACGAAACTGTATAATCCGTAAACTTACCCCCTCCATTATGCCATATCCTCTATAAAACTTGAAACTATCGAGAAAATGTGTCAAAGCTATTTTCTGTACACACCTCAACAACTTTTGATGCTTTTTAAAGCTCAGATCATACCTTCTTTGGAGTAATGCTCTCATGTCCTGGCGAAACAAGTGCAATAGCACTTATCGCTCATCGGCTTTATTCACTTCATTTTATTGTGAGACATTTCTTTGTATTATGCAAAATTGAATGTATGGAGCTCTGCCCCCAAACATACCCTGAAGCTGCTGGATTCCATCCAGAAAAGAGTCATCTGCCCGATTAGAGACGCGAACATCACTTGCAACCCTGATAGTCTGGAACATCGAAGAAAGGTTGGGGACTTGTCTCTCTTCTATAGATACTTCCACGGAGACTGTTCAAGTGACCTGGCACATTTGATTCCACCAAGAGCGGTACATATCAGAAATACGCGACGGATCAAAGTTTTGAGATTCAACTCAGTACACCTCGAACTTCACTGTTTGAGAACTCTTCCATTTGGAGAACTTCGTTTATGTGGAATGAACTTCCTGAGAATGATTTTCCGAATGGATTTAATTTCCAGCGATTGAAGTTCAATGTGAATAGCTACTTTCGCGACTTCATTAATTCCAGTGGCGCATTTGCATTTTTCAGCTGCAGGAAAACCCAGTACCACATCATCTGAAGATCTTGATCTGCCAATGTCCTCTTTTCATTAAACAAAATGTAGGGTGTCTCCAGAGGCTCCAATAAGTTCAAGACATCGCCAGAACACTTACTGACTTTCGACTATCGTCAAACTTAAACCAGTTCGTTTCGTCTTTGACCAATGCATAATAATGACCAGATTCAACGCCAGAATCACAGTGAACAATGACTTTGCGGTTCGACGAGAGTGCTTTGTTCACTCAGTCAATCGGCCGATGTGTGAGCCGATGGTTCAAGCCCCAGGCTGAACGCTCGATTTTCACTTGATATCGTCCAACCTGTGTTAGGAATCACAGGTTAAAAGGCAAGACCTCGTTAGTCCTAGCTCGCACAAGTTTCGGCTTCTGAGGGTTGTCGTTCGTAGGGTTGCGACAGCTGGTTAACGAAAAAAACATTTTTTTTAAACATATTTCGAACCTTCGTAAGAGTTTGGTGCTTCCGTCACAAGTTGAGTCATGTTTGAAGATCATCAGTGTTATCATTAGATTGACTGGTGCCTCAGCTATACCTGTTGTATTATAATAGTCAGTTAGTTTGGCGTATGTTTGGCAATACAGTTGATCGTCATCCGTTAAAAGTTCCATTTTCAGATGATTTAACAATAAGCTTTGCACGGACTGGTCATCAGTCATGTTCGGAAACGCTAGTTGAAGTTCTAGAAAATCACATACGTTTTTTCTACCTCTTGAACTTTTACTACAAAGTAAACAAGTGAGGATTTTTCCAGCAAAAGATCTACAAACACCAAACGAGATATACTGTACGGAATCATTCAATCCACAAGGGTCAGGAGTATTGATTCTGGTGTTTGAGTTTGGTGAATAAGTAGGAACCATTCACGTTCATCGTTAAAACCTCGTTCTTGAAATTCTTCGTCATGCACAACACTTGTAAAATGCTATCCATGTAGCAAGTGTTTCCTGAATCCTAATCCAATTTTCTTCTCAATATTTTCAGGACAACTGTCTACTTATTCGTAAGGAGGAACATGTTTTACAGAATCTGTATCAGAACCATTTGTCAATATTACTTTACAAGTAATAATGCCGTACCATACCTATTAATTTGTCCTACTAAAGGGATTTCTGGATTCTGTACAAGGTCAGGGGAAGGGGTTACTATAGGTTGACATCCCATTGGAACATTTAATCGCCATGATGAGAACTACCTCTATGTGAAAACTACCTAATACTACGGTAATATTCGATTATAATTGTTTGAATTATTCCTTTTTAAATTACGGCCCTGAAAATTGGTTGACTGAGTTGAATAAAAACACAATAGCAACTTTCACGTCTCCCTATGTACCGTAGAGTTTATCGAGAGTTTTTTTTCATTTTTAGGTACCTATTAATATTTTTTCCATTGCTCTCAGCGTTTTCTTCGAATATGAAAACCTTTTATGATTATCTGAAACATATCTACAATGAAAATATATTATATGTGTTTTGATGAGCAGAAAAAAAAAATGGTAGCAATAATAGCATCCGAAACGAACACTATAATTATAATGAAAATTGAAATGAAGTAAGTAATGTATATACACAAAAAAATTAATTGTGCAATAAATGTTCGAAGTGGAGTCCTTCTATTTAAGGACAAATAATGGGACAATAAGATGCTCTGCAAGATCACCAGATCTTACTATTTTGGACTATTTTCTATGGGGGACATTGAAGAATAGGATTTACGCTGGCAGAGAGACAGAAAATTTGGAAGACTCGAGATATATAAATTACTTCTTTTCAATTTTCATTACAATTATAGTGTTCGTTTCGGATGTTATTATTGCTATCATTTTTTTTTTGCTTATTAAAACACATATGATATATTTTTGATATAGATATGTTTCAAATAATCATAAAAGGTTTTCTTATTCGAAGTTCAATGTAGAAAACGCTCAGAGCAATGGAAAAAATATGAATTGGTACCTAAAAATTAAAAAACTCTCGAAAAACTCTACGATACATAGGGATATGTGAAAGTTGCTATTATGTTTTTATTCAACTCAGTCAACCAATTTCCAGGGCCGTAATTTAAAAGGGAATAATTCACACGATTATAATCGAATATTATCGAAACATACCGAAATATAAAATTGAATTTAATTTCTCGGTATGAAGTGAACGTCTACGATCCAAAAACTACAACAAAAAATACAGGTCCGTATTTAAAAATTCAATCTCCAGAACCAAAAGAGCTATATTCGATTTCTTTACATCATTGAATAGGTCTTTAAAATACACAACTTTGCCACAATTTAACCGACACTCTATCTCTTATCGTTTACGAGATCCCCATGTACAGAAACGAATTTGAATAGCCCTGCATAAAGATAAATTTTCTTTTCTTACATCTCAGTGACTTTTGAACGAAGATTGGCTTGGAGAAAACGCCACCTTTATGATTTTTTACCAAAATGATAACAATAGTATTTATACATGATTTTTTTTCCAACCTCATTGTTTCGTGCCTTTTTTAAAGTAAACTTAAAACTCATGAACTCACTCGTGAATGGCTAGTTTCTTGTTGAGTTTCGGTCGATCAGTTTTCTTCAACTGCCCTCTGACGGCCCTGGCGACATCTGTTGGCGTCTCTTTCAATCCGAAACTCGTGACGTAATGCCCCAAGTTCGCTTTTTTGAAATCGAAGATCGGTCGCATTTTGCTGGAGTAAGTGTTGTAGAAACGTGACCAAGAAGAATATGCTGAAACAAAATTGCAATTATGTTTTTTGCTTACTGGTAACGTTTTGGTGTTTAACGTTATCTATA